TGGGGGCCAAACCTGCAACTCGGGCGTGTGCTCTGATTGGGAATGGAGCTGGCGGCCTTTTGCCTTGAGGGAAGATGCCCAACCACCTGATCCACACCAGTCAGGGCTAAAACAGTTAACCAATTTAATAAAAGGTTTTGTTATATATAATTTTAGACTTGACAGAAAAATTTGCAGCAATAGTACAAATAATTCTATACTCTTCATCTATCTTTTAACATTTCACTGTTTACTGTTTTATTTTCTCTCTGTTAAAATATACATATGCAATTTAATATAAAATTAAAATTATTTTCTTAAACATGTGGGAGACATGGTGTTCCTTAGCCCTGCATACTTCAGAATGTATTTTCTAAGAACAAGGACCACAGGGAATTAATATTATGTCAAACTATTATCTATAGGCCTTATTGAAATTTTCCCAGTAGTTCTTATATTCTTCACAGCAAATAAATAATTTTTTTCCTGGTCCAAGAACCATTCCAGGATTATATGTTACATTCAGGTGTCGTGTCTTTATGGCTTCTTTTAATTTGAAGTACTTCCTTGGGTGTTTTTTTGGTCTTTGTTTTTTATGACTTGGCATTTTCGAAAATTAGTTATTTTATAGAATGTCCTTTAACTAGGGCTTGTCTGATGTTTTCTCATGATTAGATTCAGATTATGCATTTTTGACAGGAATGGCACAGAAAGTGATGCATGTGTTCTAGTGTATGATATTAGGAGTTAAGTACATGGTATACATTTGTCCCATTGCAGGTGCTGTTAACTTTGATCACTTGATTAGGATGGTGTCTCCTAGGTTCCTTTACTATAAAGTTATTTTTCACTTTGTCATTAATGAATATCTTGTGGGGAGTTATTTTGTGACTATACGTCTTTAAATACCCTGTTTCTACTTTACTAGATTTAGCATCCAGTGGCGATTTTTGCCTGAAACAGTTATGGCAGTTACCAGATGGTAACCTAATGCCATCATTCCATGCACATTGTTGGAATTCAGTTGTCAGGTTGGTAGTGTGATGAGAGGAGAGAGAGCATGAGACGAGTTCTCTGGGGACAGAGCAGGGCTCTGGCTTAGGGTGACACAGTTTCTGGGAAAAGTTTATCCTTCATAGCCTGGGAGCTCTGTGAAGAAGCACAGGGGGTCTAGGGAGAATGCCTCTTCCTGATGGATTGACTCGTTTATCATCATAAAATATCCCTCTTTTTCTCTGTTAACATTTTACATTGATTTTTAGAGAGAGAGAGAAACATCAATTTGTTTTCTTCCATTAATTGACATTTCAGGGTTTTTTCCCACATTTTGGTTATTGTAAATAATGGCTGCTATCAACACTGGTGTACAAATATCTGTTCAAATCCTTACTTTCAATTACTCTGGGTATATATTTAAAGGTGAAATTGCTGGATCATATGGTAATCCTGTGTTTAATTTTTTGAGAACTGCCATAACTGTTTTCCACAGCAGTTGCACCATTTTACATTTCCATAAGCAATGCACAAGGACGGTTCCAGTTTTGCCATATTTTTGCCAACATGTTATGTGGGCAGGGGGGTTTGGTTTGTTTGTTTGTTTGTTTTTTAAATAATAGCTATCTTAGAAGGGCTGAAGTGGTAGCTCATTGTGGTTTTGATTTATATTTTCTAATGTTTGGTGATGTTGAGCATATTTTCATGTGCCTTTAGGCAAACTGCATTACTTCTTTGGAGAAATGCCTGTTGAAGCCTTGCCCGCTTTTGAATTAGGTTCTGGGTTTTTTGTTGTTGGTTAGTTGTAGGAGTTCTTTTATGTATTCTGAATATTAACCCCCCTTGCCAGATATACAATGTGCACATATTTTCTTCTGTGCATTGTCTTTTCATTCTCTGATAGCATCCTTTGCACAAAAGTTCTAAATTTTGGTAAAATTCTTTTTATCTTGTTTTTTTTTATGTTGCCTATGCTTTTGGTGTCACAGTTAAGAAATCATTGCTAAATTCAAGGTTAGGAAGTATTTCCTTTTTTTTCCAAGTTTTATAGTTTTAACTCTTAAATTTAGGTCTTTGAACCATTTTGAGTTAATTTTGTATATCATGTAAGGTAACAGTTCAGCATCATCGTTTTGCACGTGGATATCCATTTTTTCCAGAATTGTTTGTTGAAAAGGCTGTCTTTTCCCTATTGAATACTCTCGATCCCCTTGGTAAAAATTAATTGCCTGTAAACATGAGGATTTATTTCTGGACACTCTATTCCTTTCCATTTTTAAAAAATATTTATTTTATTTTTAGAGAGGGGAAGGGAGGGAGAGAAACATCAATGTGTGGTTGCCTCTCACGTGCCCCCCTACTTGTGGACCTGTCCTTGCAACCCAGGCATGTGCCCTGACTGGGAATCGAACCCGCGACTCTTTGGTTTGCAGGCTGGCACTCAGTCCATTGAGCCACACCAACCAGGTCTCCTTTAGTTTTTATGTCTGTCCTTATGCCAGTACCACACTGTTTTTATTACTGTAGCTTTGTAATAAGTTTTTATTACTTTTGTGTGACTTGAAATTTATTATAATTATTCCTCTCTCCATGCTGTATTTTTCTTCTCATGTCATTTATTTGTTGAAGAAACTGTCATTTGTTAGGTTGAATTTACCACTTTGAATTTAACTGATTTGTAACCTCATAATATGAGTTAATATATTTTACCCCATGTTTCCTGTAAACTGGTAGATTTCTAAACTTGATTAAATCCGGGTTCCGACTGCATCACATCAGAAGGCTTTTTTTTTTTGAGTTAGCAAAATCGTTACCTCGTAGCTCCAGCAGTTACCAATTCATGCTATCTTACTTCATTTTTAACCCCATTTATTTTTTTCCTCCTGCCTTATTTTGAAGCAATATAAACTTACTAATTGTAAATTTCTTGGTGTTAATTTGGCATTTTAAATCACACTTTAATCTCATTTAATAACTATTGGAGGCTTAGAACCTTGCATATAGTTTTGTTAAATCTGATCAATCATAAGTATATTTAGGACTAGAATGTGATCTTGGTTTTCCTTTAATGTTCATTTTTGTTACTATATGAAATATTAGTATGCTTTGTTTCAAAATACTAAAGAAAAAAAAAGTAAAACATAATCTGAGTGGATGCAGAAAGAGAAAAACAAGAATGCATTGGGGATTTTGTCAGTTTCAGAGAATGCTGCTATGATATGCTAACATTCCCTGTGGGTGTCCAACCACCTGGTATATCAAGGGAAATCAGTGATTTTCCGCACTCTGTACCACTTTATACCATGGTGAGTCTTTTTTTATTTTCCCTATTGAACTATTTATTTTAAGTAAATTGGATTGTCAAAACATTTGGGGCTCTTTATTAGTCAAATTATATAAATATATAATCAATAAAAAATAGTGTGACTACTATAAAAGAGTTTTATGTTTTAAACTCTTAAATAGCTTTGCGGGGATGCCACATGAGTTTAAGGGCACATAATTGATGCCATTTGCTTATTAAGTCTTTCAGCTGTGGATCTCAGCAACTCCTAAAGATAATCCTTCTAAGCAAGATTTAGCCATTTTTTAGCCTTTGGCTACAGACCACAAATAGAAAAACCTCGTCAATTAAAGTAATGTTTGAAAAAAATGTACAAATTCTGTTAGTCTTTATTGTGAGATTAGTTTATTCCCTGCGATGCAATTTCAGAGAGGCAGCGTAACCTAGAAATGAAAACTCTGGACTTTGGAACACCTGGTTCAGGTACTACTGTGCCGCTCATGAACTGGGTGATGTTGATCAAGATGTTTAACTATTAAGGTTTGGTTTCCTCACCTGTATGTAAAGTAGGGGTGAGAGATTTGACACTGTGTTTACTATGGCATCTGGTTTGTAGTCAGTTCTATAAACAATAAATTATCCGTTGTATTCTTTAGACTTCAGGAATTTTTCTCTGTGCTGTGTGTGAGGCAGAGAGTTACAGAGTCAGAATGTTAGAAGTGGAAGGAATCTTGGAGGTGATTTTGTTCAAGACATTACTTTCTAGATGAGAGAAGGTATCGGAGCTGGAGACCAAATCAGAATCGGCCCTGGCCCCAGAATGCTAAGATCAATGCTCCTTGACTGGGAATTGGCGCAATTCAAACTGCTAGACTTTTTGGACCTGAATTGTGCTTCTCTTTGAATGTTTTAAGTTTGTGGCTTAATTTGAGAGTTGTAATTTTATCAAAATGAGATTCCAGTTCTTTTATTCCAGAGTAACTAATGTTTATGCGGAATATAACATTTAATTTTATTAATGTTTTTATCATTTCATAAGGGGCCTAATCTTTCCTAATGGAACAAGCCTTAGGGTGTATTATGTTCTCTAATTAAGTTAACTTGAAAATAGAGTTGATATTACTGGGAATTACTTGACAGCCAGCTTTGTGAGTGTATGACATTCTTTTGGGGGGCGGGCAGGGACGGAGAAAGGCCCTTGTTACATAGATTCTGACAGAGGCATTTATTATTTAGAAGTAAAAGTGTTTTCAGTGATTTAACTTATTTTCAGATGTTTTTCTGCAGTTGTAAACACAGTGCCTATTTTTAGAGGTGAGGGAAAAATATGGGAGGTGACTTGATGTCAGGCACATCAGGAATAGAATCTATATTTTGCTCCTGAGTAGCTTTTTATAACAGTGATTGGTTACTTTTGGAATAAAGATTATTATATTTAGTATTGCTTATTTTTTCCAATAGTCTGTCTTTATTTTTATTTCATTTATTTTAGTTTGATAACATTCACTTTCTCCCTTCTTCCTCCCTTCCATGACCTGTACCTGTTCTGGGCCTCTGAGCCAGCAAAGCAGAGAGAGCCGTACCGCACGCAGATGGCTTTTACACTTACTATGAAATGAGCCCACCCCACAGATTGAGCACGTGTGCTTTATTTGAATGGAATTATAAGATATTTTAAATTTAAAAATATTTTTAGCTTGTTTAGCCTGTTGAATTTAATAAACATAATATTTAATCTTTTCAGAGGCCGAAACAATAACAAGGGACTGCCTCAGTCTACGGTGAGTAACTTGAATGTTATATGTTTGGAAAAATTGGTAACTTAAATGTGATTTCTAAGCCATAGACTGATAGCCAAGGCAAAAAATAAAAACAAAAACCCTCTTCAATTTTATATCGCAGATATATATATATGGGGTCTGGCACAAATAATGCCCCTTTTTTATGACATAAAAATCTTTTATTACAAAATCCTAAGCATGTAATTCTGTAATATAACAATATCACACTCAGGAACACCATTTGATATTTTAGGTGAAATATTCAAATTGCTGCCTGTCATGCGAGATGTTCACATACACTACCAACCACACTCAGTGGTGTTTACTTCTGCCAGAGCCTGTAGATAAATAGATACATAATAGATACGCACATACATATATGAGAAAGAGTGTGTGTGTGTGTGTGTGTGTGTGTGTGTGTGTGCATTTTTTAAAAATCCTCGAGGACTTTTTTCTTTTCTTCCTTGCTTTTAGAAAGAGAGGAAGGGAGAGAGAAACATTGATGCAAGAGAGAAGCATCAGTCGGTTGCCCCCGCTCCCCCCATATGCACCTGGATTAGGGATTGCGAGTGCTCGAATTTAGGATCGAACTCGCAACCTAAGCATGTGCCCTGACCGGGAATTGAACCCACAACCCTAAGGTTATGGGGTGATGCTCCAACCAACTGAGCTGTATTGGCCAGGGCTCAGAAATCTTTTATAGATCAGTACTATTTGGTATGAAATTATTAGCTATATGCGGTGGTTTTATGGTGACCATATAAATGGTGAAATTATCTATAAACAATATTTTTCATGCATTATAATCTGTGTTTTTTAATAAATGACTGAAGGCAGATCTAACTCCTAAAAACTAAGTAGAACACCAGAACTGGAGTTTGCGGAGCTCTTTGGGCTTTTGACTTTGAATTAATGGTTTATCTTTTATTACTTTCATTTTTCTCCCTTTGAAAGGGCCTTTTGGTTTTAAATTTCAGAACTTTATCAGTGAAATTAAGTTGGGCATGAATGGGAGAAGGTGTAAGTTTCACACGATTGAAGAAGATAAATGAGAAGTTCACTAATTTTTGAGACTTTATTCTTATTGGACAGGTTTTCTTTTTTAGAATCAGGAGGACACACACTCACATAGTAGATAGTCAGGAGTGGTGTGGCTGATGAATCCTTAGATTACTGCCATTGACTCATGTGTGCTGAGAGCATATAATCCAGGGTCTTCTACAGAGATGCCCCCAATTCTGCCCCATCTGTTTATTAAGATATTGTCAATCCTGTTTAGTGTACAGGTCTCTGAATTTTGATGCACGCAATTTTATAACAATCACCATAATCAAGATGGTAGAACAGTTCCATAGCCTCCAAAAATCCCTTATGCTACTTTGTAGTGAAACCTACTCTCCTAACTATTGACCTCTCTAGTCTGTTCTTATGATTTCGTCTTTCCTCATATGTGTAAGTTCACTTTTGCTTTCTGTATCATGTATACATTGTTAGTTGGTATGACTGATTTTCCTTTTGAAAACCTAAGTTTCTATTCTCTAAGGAAACAAAAGACAAGTAAACCAAATCTTCCTTTAATGCACATAAAATATTACAAACCTAACTAAACATTTTATAACAAAATAAGTGTTAATTTTAATATATATACAAGGATAAATGCTAATTGCTAATAATGTTTTTTCTTAATATTACAGATAACTTTTGATGGAATCTATGCAAATATGAGGATGGTTCATATACTTACATCAGTTGTTGTAAGTTAGCAGCTTATTGGGGAGAAACTGCCTTGGGAGTATAATAAAGTAATAAAGTTATAAAATGTGGGGGAATGTTTCTCTATGTCACATTTTTTGGGTCATATTTAATCATAATTTAGAAAAAAGGGATTACAATTCTACCCAAATTATTGTAACTCTCACTATAAAAAGCATTCTTGTTAACCCTGCTGTGTACATAATAATATTACTATTTTTTTAGTGCATTATTTTGTCGCCTAATAAAACTGGAGTCAGAAACACTTAATTTCAGTACTTAAGTACATACTGTAAATTCTGAGCAGGATACTCTGAAGAATTTTGAGAATTCAGTGTATTGCTGATCTTTGAAAAATTTATTACTGTTCTGTCAAGTGAACACCAGATATGTTGAATGGAGCCTGATGAGCTATAAAAGTAAATTGAAAACAATTACCCCCCGTGACTGAGTAGCACACTGTTTCTTTGATAAATTCATTGTATGTTTTTAGGGATCCAAATGTGAAGTACAAGTGAAAAATGGAGGTGTATATGAAGGAGTTTTTAAAACATACAGTCCTAAGGTAATTTTTACTCTTTTCCTTTTTGTTAATTAACATGTGAAAGCTCATGAATCATCAATTACCATATGTCTGTGTGGCTTCCTGACAGTGTCTGTCTAGTTTCTGATTTAGCAATCTCAAGTTATGAGGTGGGTATGTTTGTCACATTTTCGCGCTCAGTGTTTCACCTATAAAGCACTTTTTAAACTTCGAATGATTTTGCTCTTCAGTTTCTGATACTGATTATTTTATAGATGGTATCTATAATCAAAAAGAGTTCTTGCTTTGTGTGCTTATTAAAATATTTTGACCTTTTCAAGCATTGTGGACCAGAAGAGGGAGGGATTGGGTTGTCATTTGTTTACCTTTTCATTACTATTAATGTACTTAAGACATACCATGGCAGCAAGGATCACCTTTTAGGTGAGATTTTAGAGTGATGGAATGGAAAAACATTGTATTTTTGAGAAAAACATATAAATTATAAGTTTTCTTCAGATAGGTTATCTTTTCCAAGGGCATATAAGAATGAGTAGTATTTTGATGTGCTGAAGAATGCCTGTCAAGTTTATTTTATAAATGTTTGAGTACTTACTCGTGTTTTTCATTTTAGTGTGATTTGGTACTTGATGCTGCACATGAGAAAAATACAGAATCCAGTTCTGGGCCAAAACGTGAAGAAATAATGGAGAGTATTCTGTTCAAGTGTTCAGACTTTGTTGTGGTACAGTTTAAAGATATGGACTCCAGTTATGCAAGAAGAGGTGAGTCTTCATTTCCCAAATATACGTCATGGTTTTTAAGATTTGTTCAAGCAGACTCTACAGTCTTTTTTAAAAAGAAATATGGGCTTTTAAAAATAATCTGATTAAGACAAATGGGAACTTCAATGCATTTTTGTTGGAAAATATTTAAAACTTGAGTGGAAGATTCCTTGGTGCTTTTCGTAGGATAAATAATGAGAGTTTGTGTTCTATTAAAAAAATAGTTTGGAAAGGATTTTCTGCAGTTTCGTGGTTAAGAATGCTACTGATTATATGCAACTGAAAATTTCTTGTCCCATTTGTTCTAATTTTTTAGTTTTATAATGCTTATAGTTTTATTATGCTTGTGGTCCTATAAATGATTTAGTTTTAGTTCTGTAAATGCCCTGGAAAAGAAAAACAAAAGCACAGGGTTAAGGTAGAAAGGCAGAGATCTGTGGAGAGAAAACAATGATCTAATGAAGGTAAATAGTAAAATAGATCATGTATATTTGAAAAAACGTTCAGAGTATGGGAATACATTTTGAGACTATAAAGATGAAGATGTAGTTATATTAAAAATTTAGTATGTTCTAAGTGTCTGTTGAGGAGGAAAATGCAGGAATTGCTGTTAGGCATTTAGGGAGCATACTTTGCAGGGCTGAGTGTTGAATAACATTGAAAGACTCTTTTGGGCAATTTTGAACTTGGTTCTAAAATTCTTAAAATTGAATTTTCTTTTGGTTAAATTCCATAGTCATTTCTATTGCAAATTGTAACTCAACAATTTTTAATTTTTATGATTCAGTTTATAGCTACAGCTGTTTTAATTTGCTAATTTTTAGGCACCATTGTTTAGAAGTTGCAAGCCACCCAAAGGCTAAAGCCTTTCTCTTGGACCTCGTAACAAGGTTCTCACGTATAGTTACCTTGCTTTTTCAGAAGCTAGCAGTGCTCGATAGTAACTGCTTGGCAGTGTGTCTGTGTCTGTGATTCACGACTCTGTCTACGAGTCCTTCAGTGGCCCATACAAGGAAACAAGTCTTTTTTACTTGTTGCCATTGGAGCTGATCTGGTTTATGCCTACGGGCACAAATACATAGTTATACTTATGCTGTTGAAGTATTTTCACTGTTTTAAATTTAAAAATTGACTTTGCAAAGGGAAAATAAAATTTTAGTTGAATTTAATACATAGCACTCTGGAAAATGTATTGGCTACAACAACAAAATGTTCCCTGTTCTGTTGGGTACCAGGACATTTAGCTAACTGCCATTCACAATATGCTTTGTTTTTTGTTCTTAAAGTGAATAGCATTTCCTAAATTTGAAACATAACTGTTAGTTGGAGATACAGTATCCCATTCTTCATTGCTGTTCAAAATTCATATCTTCAAAATTTTATTATTTTTGTTACTTTATTATGCCTTTATTACTCAAGTGATTTGTGTTTATTGTAGAAAGCCAAGAAAATACAGACCAGAGTGACAGTTCTGACAGTGTTTGGTACACTCAGTAAGTGAATGGATGAGGACATCCAATAATGGAGTAATTTCAGGTGTTTTATTTAAAGAATGAAGTGGTTCAGTGAATTATACAGTTGTGTCCAGTGCATCGTATCCTGAAAATAGTATTAAGTCACATGTTTAGGATTTCTGGTCTCTGTAACCAGATTCTTAACACTATTCTGGTAGAAATTGCCTTATATGACAGTATTATGACATGACTTCTGGTCAAGAAGATGGCACAGGCAAACATGGCTCACCTCTTCACACAACCACATCAAAATTACAACTAGAATGTAGAACAGCCATTACTCAGAACCATCAGAAATCGAGTTGAATGGAAGTTCGACAGCTGGGGAATTAAAGAAAGCACAGCCATCCAGAGTGGTAGGAGAGGTGCAGACATGGAAAGGGCTGGTCGCACACCCATGTGTGGTGGATAAAAATTTGGGAGGGATATCTCAGGATCCAGGAGTCCCAGCCCCACACCAGACCCCTTAGCCCAGGGTTCCAGTGCCAGGAACATAAGTCCCCACAACTTTTGGCTGCAAAAGCCAGCGGGGATTGAGCAGATGGAAGAAACTTCCGGAGCCCTAAGCAGTTCCTCTTAAAGAACCCACACATGGACTCACCTATCAGATGCACTCCCTCTGAGCTCTAGCACAGGGGTAGCAGCTTGAAAGGCACCAGTGGTGTACAGGGACAAACCGAAGCGTCTGGCATCAAAGTGAGCAGAGACCATTGTCCCTTCCCTAAACCTTCCCCCCACAGAGCCAGCAAGCTGGTGCCGTATCTGAGGCTCCATCAACCTGGCTAACACTGTTTGACCTACCTTGGAGATCCCCAGACACTCCGCCCCACCCAACTTTACGGACCCACAAAAGCTCCATCTCCATATGAATGGCTGGTCTCAGCTCATGCTTCACAACTTCCTAAATCATCTCAGACAAGCAACAGCTGGCCTCACTGAGCCCCAGACCTAGCACTAGCAGCACCCAGCCTAGATTCACAGTTTGGCTTCGCCTGGGAATCTCCAAACCCAACCACAAAAGTAGTAACCATCTGAGATTGCTTTATAACTCAGGCTGGGTAGCCCTGGGCAAAACAGGTGGTGTCTGATCTCAGCCAGCACCACTCAGGAAACCCCAGGGTCAGTGTACCCAGTAGACAGCTACAGACTACATCAGAGCACCACCACCCTGCCCCTGCATAGCTGATCTCCAGGGAGGGCGGAGGTTGGTGGTCAGTGGTCACAGCCAATCTTTGCAGCTGACTGGCCTGGCTAAATCCCTCCCATTGACCTGCCAAAGCAACCAAGACTGAACTACAAGAGGAGAGTGTACTCAGCTCACATGAAGGGCACACCTTGAGCACCCAGCTTGGATGATGGGGGAGGCTGTGCCACTGACCCTACAGGACACCCACTACATTAGGCCACACTGCCAAGACTGGGAGTCATAGCAGCTCTACCTAATACATAGAAATGAACACAGGGAGGCTGCCAAAATGAGGAGACAAAGAAACGTGGCCCAAATGAAAGAACAGATCAAAACTCCAGAAGAAGAGCAAAAGGGAGATCAGCAGTCTATCAGATACAAAGTTCAAAACACTGGTTATAAGGATGCTCAAGGAACTTAGTGAGGACCTCAGCAGCATAAAAAAGACCCAGTCAGAAACAAAGGATACACTAATTGAAATAAAGAACAATTTACAAGGAAATAATAGTAGAATGGATGAGGCTGAGGATCAAATCAGTGATTTGGAACATAAAGAAGCAAAAAACAGCCATGCAGAACAAGGAGAAAAAAACAATCCAAAAAAAATGAGGATAAGTATAAACAGCTTCTGGGACAACTTTAAGAGGTCCAACATTCACCTCATAGGGGTGCCAGAAGGAGAAGAGAAAGAGCAAGAAATTGGAAATTATTTGAAAAAAAAATAGTGAAAGAAAACTTCCCTAATTTGGTGAAGGAAATAGACATGCAAGTCCAGGAAGCACAGAGGGTCCCAAACAAGATGGATGCAAAGAGGCCCATTCTAAGACACATAAGATAAAAAAGTAAAAACCAAAATTTTTGCGTAGTATAAAATTCAGATTTTTCCGTGGGTCAAGATTCTTTTTCTTTCTTTCTTTTTTTTTTTTTTAAGTCTTTGGCTTTATATTTGAAGAAAACTTTTTAAAGCTAGTAAGCAACAATGTGGCTTCTAAGTTTTTAATGCTAGCTTCATTGATTTCAATAAATTTTAAAACCTGTCATTTATATACAAAAGTGCAAGTGAATAAGAGTCTTAGAAATAATTGATAATCTTGTTATGATATGGTGAGTAAATCTCATTTGCTTTCTTGAATGTTATACATATACCAGTTTGATGAATGGGCAAAATGAAAAGTAGCTTTACATCTTGTAAGCTCTGGGCTCCTTTTGCACACATAATTAGTGTATTTTATCCTTTATTTGAAATCTATTGCAAACAGATCTGGGATGTTTTCATTTTTTCTCTTCGTTTTGCCTTTAACTTTTTTTTTCAAGTAATTGGCATGTCATTTCAACTTGCTTTTTACTTGGTTTCCTGTCCTTTCTAAATAGTGTTCTTTCTTACCTGCTTTTCTCCCTCATCTTCTTTCTGCACTTCTTATTATTACTCCTTATTCATATTTTGCTCTTTGATTTAATACCCCAACTCAGCTGTTTTTAGTTCTGTGGCTTCTCTTCTACTTTCTTATTTCATTCTTCCTCATGATTCTTTCTACTGCTTTATTTCCATTGTAGTATTCTTAGCCTAGAGAACAGGAGTCAGTAAGCTTAAGGTCTGTGGGCCAAATCCACTCATCAGTAAATAAGCTTTTATTGTAACACAATTATGCCATTTATTTATGCATGATCTATGGCTGCTTTCATGCTACAGTGATAGAGTTGAGTAGTTGTAATAGAGGTATATGGCTTGCAAAGCCAAAAAATATTTAATAGTTGGCCCTTTATAGAAAAAGTTTGCCCATTTTAGTCCTAGATCATTTTTCTTACTACATTTGGGCTGTTAGGGCTGATCAAAAATATATATTTCACCACACTGGTTTTGATGAAATAACAGAGAACATACTTTGTCTCTAAACTCATGCTTTGACTGTAATCTAATACTGTGTAATTTCATTTAATTCCTTATTTGTGACCATTCAAATTGAATTTAGCCTGAAGAATCACTTTGCTAACCAGCTCCTTTGTCCCAGTAAGTGAAAAATCATGCATGATTATTGGCAATGCTCTCCATCTACCAATTGTCTGCTCCCTCCGCCATCTACAAATTTATCTTCCCCTTGTCATCATTGTTCTTTTTCCTTTGGTTTTTAGGGAATGTCTCACTTCCTGTTAAATCTCAGCTTCTCCAGTCATGCCCTTGATTCTGTCCATTTTGCCCTTCCTGGGTTCTTGCTCTTTTATATCACCTCTCTGTTTCTGAACTCTTAACCTTTTCTTTTCCACTTACTCCTTCCCTTTAGCCTGAAAACCTATTCAAATCC